TTTTGAAAATATAACTCCACCATTTAGCTTGTTAAAATCTCCTCCGGACTCGGTAACGGGTAATGGTAGTCCTTAATTACCGAGTTCAACCCTGTCGAAAAATCAACGCAGACTCTGACTTGGTTTGATTTCTTTTTATGCACACAATCGGCGCAGCCCATGAATTAGATTCTACTTTCGAAATAATTCCCATTTTTTCCAACCTATCAAGTTCTTCGTTAATTTTCTCTACACTTGCGAAAGGCACATTACGTTTCTTTTTAAAAATTGGCATAGTATTTTCCTTTAATTCGAATTTGGCTTCAAACTAGTTACATCATCCAAGACCAGGTGTGAAAGTTTCCGGAAACTTTTTTTTTTAATTCCTCATTAATGTCCTGTCTTGTTTGCGTATTACTTTCTACTTTTCTGCAGAAAGAGTTTAACGGTTTATCCCACAATTCGAATGTTTCCATAAAATCTGTACCCATCAAGTTTTCTCCATTTTCAGAATGAAAACTTTTATTTTTAACTATCCCGTTCAATTTCATGGGAAGTACAACCTCGCCTTCGAATTTAATTTCCTTTCCAGTCACTGTTCGAGCGCGTTTCGTTGACTTCATTATTGTAGGCCTTTTAAAATTTTCCATGTTTTATAGTTCATTATTGTTAAATCTGAACCCGAATCGAGTTGAAATTTGATATTCTTTTTAAATATTTCAGTCGTCACATATTTCCTCAAATCTCTATCTGATTTGATATTTGAATTTGTTTGACTAATTCGGCTATTGACTTTTTTTCGTTTTACAACAACACGACCCTTTGTGACCATTCTTGTGGCACACGAAACATTTTTTATTTCTATATGGGCAATTTACCTCCCAATGTCTTTCGTTGCACCGTCTACAATTAAATGGCGGAACCATTTTTTTCCTTCCTCATTCTTTTCATTTAATTTTTTTTTTCTTTTTTAAATACGAATTTTTAATCCAATTTTTTTTTCTGATGGGTAATTTGACTGTTTCTTCACTTTTTAATATAAGCAATACCAGCTTCTTCAATTTTGAGACTCTTTCTTTAAACTTACGGCCCGCTGACACTCCTCTGCTAACTTTTTTGCAGGGTAAGGTTTTGTTCAGATTCGAGTTTAGACAAAAACTCTACGTCTTATTTCGGCACTTTTACTGGATACCAGACCTTGAGCAAAAAATTAAACACTTGAATTCTTCAACCGTAATCTCTGCCAATCTGAAATTGTCACAATGTCTATTCACTATAGATGCATAAGTTAAGTAATCCTGATCGTCGGATTTAGCGACATTCATGCATAACCATCGCTTATGCCAAAGCGACATATTTGCTCCAAACAACTCCTTTAGCAATTTCACTGTTTCCGAGAATTCCAATTCATTTGTTCTTCTCGGTAGAATAAAATCTACAAATTTGCTATGTTCTGCTGTACCTAGCTTTCTTAGTAATAGACTGACTTTTCTTGAATTCGACCAGTTTTCACAGTCTGTGTGGAAAATATCTTCATATCGTTTAAAGTACGCTTCAAACGTTTTTCCTTCGTCTGGCACATAGTTGAAAATTTCCAACGAATTAAATATGATGTTATTAGAATATGAAGAGTTACTTTCATTTGCCTGATTGTTTAATTTCTCCAATGTTAACTTTTGAATTTCCAAAACCTTGACATACATTTCTTCCTGGTCCCTTTGACGTTGCTGACTCAACTCCTCTTGCCTTTCTTGATAATTCTGCTGTGCTAATTGTTGTTCTCTTAATAAGGCAACCTGTTCACTTTGTTGTTGCAGACTCAACTGCTGGGATTTGAATAATTCAGCTTGACTCAACTGCTGGGCTTTAAACAATTCAGCTATGACTTTGGATAATTCCTCCATTTTTAGCTGATAGTGTTCATGCAACAAAGAATATACTTTTAAATTGTTTATCCACGAATATACTATAAGCAGACAAAAAAAAATTGAAACAACATACGCCTTTTTTAATTTTATGTCTTGCTTTATAAAATATTGTTGAGCAACCAAATAAAAAAAAAAATAAACAAATTTTTTTTTACAAGTTCGCTTACCTTTCAAAGTCGACACGTGGTATTTGTGCTCCTTTTAATTTCATGCATGTTTTTTTTTTAGTCGGCCAGCTTTTTTTTTTTTTTTAGTCGGCCATTTTTTTTTTTTTTTTAGTCGCCATCATTTTTTTTTTTTTTTTTTTTTTAGTCGGCCAGCATTTTTTTTTCGCCGTTATTTGTTTACGCCACCTTCCAGATTTTTCTGAGTGAACGTTCCTTTAAGCTTAGTCGTCCTTTAACTAGTTTTAACTGTCCAAACTTCAGAATACTTTTCCGTTCCATTAGATGTTCGACTTTTAATTAATGATTTTTTTTTTTCAGCCTGGGTTCTTCTACTTGTCCCAATTATTGAAGGCTATCAATTATTAATTCTTTTTTTTTTTTTCGAAATATAAAGTTCTTTATACCTCGTCGCCATTGTTGAAGCTTGAATAAGCATGGAATAATAATAATACAACACAAAATGTACGTAACAAAATGTATTGAAACAATGAAAAAAGGTACACAATATTTACAGGTAGTTTTGGTATATTCTTGGGAAGACTGTTCCTGCAGAATGGGTTGACTAAGTCGCAGTCGGGCAGAGTCTCTGGATTCGATCTCTTAATCTTCCGTCGTCTTCCGGTACCAACCCATATTTATATGGTCGGTACTCCACTTATGTAAATTAGGTGTATCATACACAACAGGTATGCTACAATAATATACGAGGTCTGAACAAAAAGCATCGTAACTGTTGCTATGGTAACGGAGCTAAAGTACGCGGAGTGAAGCTGTTTGGCACAGACTGAACTTGAACTCTGTCGCACGTGCACATTAGTTGTAATGTTCTCACTCCCTTCCGTTGTTTATGGAAATGCTTGGAAGGATAGTGTGTAGAATGTGGTCGTCTCACCACACCACAGTGGTTTCATCAGTAACTATGGTAGTTTGGGACCACGCACAACATTCTCCAAGTTCGACAACCACCATGTTCTTCAGATCTCGCTCCTTGCGACTTTTTCCTATTTACAAAAATCAAATCCTGCTTGAAAGGAAGAAGATTCCAAGAGAATGCGATAAGACATTTATCCTTATAAGAGGAATTCCAGGAATGCTTCAATCAATTGAAACAACGCTGGCTTAGTAAACGGACTACTTCGAAGGAGATTAAATGTCGAATTGATATATGTGTTGTAGTTTCCTTTTTATAGCACCAGTCCCGATACTTTTTGATCAGACCTCGTACATACATAAATTTTGATTCGTTGGGTTTGTCAAAATGGTTCACTTTTATATTTTTGAAATGTATTACAAGACTTTTGTTTCGCGCTGAATATGAAATAACTGGAGCATTGGAATATTTTCAATGTATTTCTGCTCTTCATGTAAATATTGACGGCTAAAAATTCTGAGTGCTCTTAAATGGAATCTGAGGATTAATGACAATAGCCTAAAACTAAGTGTTCATGACAAATCAACTAATAAAAATGATCTCATTAATTTCTATTCTCACCGTAAGAACAAAATAAAATTCGGAATAATCACACACACACACACATATATATATATATATATAATTAATATTTTGAATTGATTATATATATATATATATATATATATATATATAGTCACTTTCTCACCGACTTGGCGTGGCTTCTCTTTGTTTTTTTCTGCAAATATTTTCATGGTAACTGCTCCGAAGAACTTTTTCCCTTGGTTCCTCGACTACATGAATTTAAGCGTGCTTTTAGATTGGCATCTAGGTCCCACCCTTTTGCTGTTGAAATAGCTAAATGCAACCGCTACCAACAGTTTACTCAAACAGTTTCTTTTCTCGCACTTTCCAACTGTGGAACTCTGTTCCGTTTATTTGCTTCCTGATAATTAAAAAAAATTTAAATGCAACGTCTATCGCCATCTCTCTCCTCTTGAACCCTGATCATCTTTTGTCCTTTTCTCAATCTCAGTCTTTTCTCTCTTTTCACTCCCTTTTTTTTTTAGTTATTAGTGGCATTGCCGCCTTGCTTGGGGTGAAATGATTTAAAAAATAAACAGAACACGCTGAAAAGGTTTCGTTATGTTTTAGATGCCTTCTCCCCGGAAAGGAACGCTAGTTGATGTTACAAAAAATCTCATTACTCACATGTCCGGCACGTCATCTTTGAAAAGGCTGTGTTTACCCATGTGTCAGAAAAACATCTTCTTCAAAACTGTTCTCTGTACAGACGTCTTCACTGATTGGCCGTTAAGAGTCACATGACCAGCCAAGCTAATTGCGGAAGAGGGAGGAATGTGAAAGTATCATGGGCAGTGCACTATTCTCTGTTGTGTTCAATGCAATATGAGATTGTATGAATGGATGAGAGGACAAGAGTAAAGCGAATTGATAAATGGCAAAAGTTACTTAGAATAACAAAAGGCAGACAATTCTGCAGAGATAGGATCGACCAAGGATAGAACACAGAAAAGAAGATCGATTGATCGTAAGAATCAAAATATATGAGTCTTTGTAAAATAAAATAAAAAACGGGTCATTTCAAGAAGGCGACGTGAGTCTCAAGAGAGAAATGAAGAGAATGGAATCGATGACGTCACAGGAAGAACCTCTGGCAATCTCAAATAAGTAATGGAGTCGAAGAGATATGCTACTGATTAAATATGAAATCGCCTCAATTTTTATTATGCAACACTTAAAGACTTGTGAATGATTGACGAATAAAGCAGACGATTAGGTGAAGATGTTTGTTCGACTAAAACAAAACAGAATTAATCTTTTCATTGATTTTGATTTGATCGTCTGTCTGGTTTGAAATGAATGCCTTTATGTTGTCCGCCATTTTCCTTTCTTTGTTTACACTTTTATAAAATATTTTTTCCGTTTTTTCATTCCTTTTCAATCTTTATAATTTTTCTTCGACTGTTGTCTTTTTCTACATTTTTATTTGAGCCTCTTTTTCTCATTTTTCTTCCTTCTTTTGGCTTTTCATTTTCCCCGTTTTTTTCTTTCTTTCTCGGATGCCTATAAAATCTGTTAATTATTAAAAGTACAATTGCTTTAGTCCGACCTCTTTCTTAACCGACTAACATTTGATCAAAATGTTTCGTTCCCATTACTGTTTGTTTGTTTCTATCAATTCCTTCTACAGGTACACGCGGCAATTCAATGTCCTGTAATGCTTAAGGAAAGCACGTCTCGCTAAGTCAGTTACGACTAAATAGTGAGTTCAGTTCTCACTGGGTGCTCCATACTTTCGGTGTTGTGCCACATCTAAGCTACACTTAGTAAATCACTTCGATCTTCGATCTCTATACTTTCGGCTTCGTGTGGCATCTATGCTTAACTAAAAAATCACCATTCTACAGGTACATGTCCTGTAGGCCGACCTTATTTTAACACAACCAACATTTGATCATACAATGTCAATTGTTATCTTCTCTTTCTTAATTCCTCTTCTCGCTTCTTAATAATCTTTTTTTCTTCTTTCATCCAGTAACCACCAGCGTGTTAGTGGCTTTGTCGCCTTTCTTGGGTTGAAAATAATTAAATCCTGTTTGTTTATCGTTCTATCAATCCATTCTACAGGTTATAAGTCATCTAGTTCAGCCTTCTCTTAATATGACCAATGTTTTATTTCCCATTTTTTGTTTCTATGAATCAAGTTCTGCACACACACACACACACACACACACACACATATATATATATATATATATATATATATATATATATATATATATATATATTTAGTTCATTATTTACATTATTCGGACTATTGTCCTCATCTTTGTCGGCATATTTATCACAACGTTTCGGCCGTTGTACGCTCCGGACTTCTTCAGGTGTTTGGAATGTCGAACTGAACCCTTTATTTCGATCACTGGGGTAGACTGTTCTAGTTCCACGTGCCATGTTTGCTGGATGTCAGTTATCAGTAATCTCCTTCTAATTTCCCTCTGAAAGTTCTCCACTGCCTTAACCGGGTATTGAACTCAACTTTTTGGGTCCTGGATCTAACCAACGTCTTATCCACTTTAAAATGTGTCCTTGAGGAATTTCTGGGTATTATAAACCCTAATTTCTGGGTATTATAAACCTAATGTCTATATGTATATTTAGTTGTATGGATATTAGTTTGTGACCCTGGGTTTCACGCTTTTGCCATCATCAGACAAAGTGGTTTATTTATTTATTTTTTTTAAATGGATGCATTTATGCTTATTTGTGTTTGATTATGTTTGGTGGTGGGAGGGGGATTTTCTTCTGTTTGTTTGGGATGGCAAATTTACATATATTGATATATATACAAGTGTGAGCATTTTAGTTCACCCAAACACACCCATAGAAAAAATCCGAGGTGAGGCGTAGAAACACATCCATGCAGTCGAGCATACATATATATATACGCAATTGTTATTCTATTTCGGTGTTGAGACTGTTGCGTTTATATATGTAGCGATGCTATTTTGCCCATAACTGGGGAGAGAAAATGATGGATTCATTTTTATTTCCCAATAATATTTAGCACTCAAGGCACAAGTGGGTTTGGTCTTGACGCTTTCCAGATCGCCGTCAATCAAACTTACACTTCCTCACACACACACATACATGCATGTAGACGCGCACATACACTCCTATTGGTTTTGGGTCTTCCAAATACCATTTTGTTACGTTGGGTTCTGTTTGTGGACATGGTGTTGATGATGTTTGTATTTTCAACGCTAACTGCTAAAATTTTATTGACGGTTGTGACTATGCTGATAGCGATAATAACCGCAATATTAGCATTGATATATTAATTTGTAGTTGTTTAACGGTAAATTTAGCCTTTTATGATGATGGAAACGATAATATAATGACAAAAAATGTGACAATAATGATAATTATGATAATATATATATATATATATATATATATATATATATATATATATACAGGGTGTCCCAAAATAATGTATACACTCTTTTAAATATTAATAGTTAATAATAATTTTTTATATGGATGAAAATATTTTTTAAAGCAGATGGATTGGAAGAAGAGGGACAGTTGAATACCCCCTAGATCAACAAATTTGACATACTTGGATTTCTTTTGGTGGGAGTTCTAAAAGACAAAGTTTACAGCAGGAAACCTGAAAACAATTGCTGAAATGAGAATAGCAATTGAGGAAGAATGTGCTCAAATACCAGAGGAAATGATATTGGATGTTTGTAGGTCTATTTCTTCAAGATATGAAAAGTGTATTCAACAGAAGGCAACCAATTTTTTGCATTGATGTGACCACACACACCCCCCCCCCATTTTGGCAAAATCTATTACATCTTCAGCTATAGTTTGGTGTCTTCATTAAAACCAATTTTCTTTCTGGGATTTTAGGAAAATCTATGACAAAGTGGAAAAAATGTTCATCTGGTGCCTTTCATCTATGAAGACTTCATTGGACTAAAGGATTTAAAACAAGTTTATCTTAAAAAAAAATTTACTATACATGCTAGGATGTATGTTTTGTGTGTATTTCTGAATTTTTAAAATTTGTTTTAAATTTTAATTTATTATTAATATTTATTAATATAAAGACCTTTCTGTTAGTCTTGAAATTTATTTTCTATCTTGTTTGTTTTTATTAACATGTAATAAATTTTTTTTTTTTTTTCCTAGTATGACACAGACTTTTACATCTTGGATAAATATCCACTTGTCATCCGGCCATTCTACACAATGCCTGACCCCAACAATCCAGTGAGTAACGTTGATTTTCATCATTTGCTGTACAATCTGTGTTTGGAATTTTTTCTTTTTTCTTTAATTGCAAAATGAATTTTTAAAACAAAAAAAATTCTTTTAACAGGCATCATCATTGAGATTTGACTAAGAATTTAAAATTTCTGTCTGAAAATTTTAAAAATATCTTCATTCAAGCCTTGGACGTTTTTTTTTCCAAGTAGAGATGCTTTCAAATATACAGTTTCATGTCCTACGACCATGAAGAACAGAATCTTTTTTGCGAAAATATTAAATTTAAATTTTGTAGCAAGCAGCATCATTTCAGTAGCAAAGAAATTCCCTATATGAAGAAAACGATAAAGATGTTATAGATTCAACACCTGCTTCTATTGACATCTGATACACCATAATTTTTTTTTTTTTTTTTTCCTTTTAATTTAAACTTTAAAGGATTAATAAAAGAAAATTTTTTTTTCTCTCCCCAGAAATCCTCCAATTCATATGACATGTTCATGAGGGGAGAAGAAATTCTGTCTGGTGCCCAGCGAATCCACGATGCAGATTTACTGACAACTCGGGCTAAAGAACACGATATTGGTAAGATCTCCCTTTCTCTCAAATTAACTTGTGTCTTCATACAAATTTTAAGATTAGGAAGATCCTGTTTGCATGTTAAATGAAATTGTTACAAACAAATTCTGAATTAGATATATCAATGTTTTCATTATTTATGTTTAAATTATTGTCCTCATCTTTGTTGTTATTATCAGAATGTTTTGACTGTAATGCTCTCTAGCCTTCATCAGGTGTATATCGATCTGGGTAAGCAACAGGGAATTCTGAACTGATCCCTTTATTTAATCTACTGTGGTAGACAGTTCTCTTTCCACTGACCATGTCCAGAGATATGTCATCTTGTTCTTATTTTCAATACTGCTCAGCCCGGTGATTGAACCCATGATTATTACGTCACTAAATTATTTTTGTAATATTGTCCGGTCATGACTGTATCCCTCTGACCCCAAGTGGCTGATTCCTTAAATACAAAAATTAATTTTTTTTTTTTAAACTTCTAAAACAACCCCACCCTTTTTCATTGTTTAATTCTTACCAATTAAAAACAAAGGAGCTTCTTGCTTAATTATATGCTGACATGACATTCATAAATGAATTCTTAACATAGAGCAATGACTCTTAAATGCTGTGCTACACTTAAGTATGGTGTGAAATATTGTCACGGCCCCTCTCTCTCTATATATATATATATATATATATATATATAATTATATTGAAGTTTTCGGCTGTTGTTTTGAAAAATGAGAACTCTTATGTAGCGATGGAATCATATTTTAAATAATAAATATATTATATATATATATATATATATAGTGTGTGGAAGTAATTGTATAGCATTAGTAATTGAATAAGTTCCATTTTGTAAAATACATCTATTAGATGCTTTGGTATACATGATCAGTGATGTTTCCAGCTGAGGTTCATTAGGTTTTTTTTTTAGTCTTTTAACATCATACCTGCCTCTCCACCATGAATCAGCTGATACTGATCGGGTGTTGAATTGTGTACCTTCTGTTAGCTACAATTTTTTCATCTTTCCCACTTTCTTTTAGAGTAAAAATCCAAAAATATTTTAATTGTTGGTTTTAGTTAAAAGTTACTTGTTTGTACAAATTAAGTCAGAGTCTAACAGGAGTTTAATCCAAGCATACAGTGTGGGAAATATACAGCAAAAGAAAAATATGGCTCAGACCAGTAATTTCTGTAAATGTTCACTGCCAGTTTTTGAGGTCAATTCCATATTTTTTTTTTATTTTTCTAGATTTGGATAAAATCAAAGCTTACATTGATTCTTTCCGTTATGGAGCCCCTCCCCATGCAGGAGGTGGAATTGGTAAGATTTTGTTTTTTTCTTTCTTTTCTATTGCCAGACATTGATTACTGAAGTAGTATATTTGTTCATTCCTCATGAAACCTTCTTTTTCTCTCTTTCTTTTCCAGGTTGTGAGCGTGTCACTATGCTTTATTTAGGACTGGACAATATTAGAAAGACCTCTATGTATCCCCGTGACCCGAAGAGGCTGACACCTTAA